TGCGAGAAGAGAATCAAGAAGGCTGCAAAGCAGACGTTCATAGCTCCTCAGGCCTTTGCAAGACAGGCCTGAAAGCACAACCAGACGCTTTCCGCTTCGAAGGTTGCTCGAGCCAAGCTTCGCAGATCAGGGCCAAGTCAAGACTGCATAGCTGCCCAGAGTTAGGGCTTAGAGTTTAGGGCTTCAGGGTGTCAGGGTTAGTGTTTCTGGATGATGTAGGGAATGAGGGTTGTAAATCTTAGGGATGATTTGGGTTCAAAGGTTTTAGGGCTTAGGGTTTGCATGTTCAACATTCGGAGCCCATGTTTGCCCGGTTGCTCCCAAGACGGGCCCCACGGCTCTGCAAGCAGAGCATGTAGAATGTAGAGCGACAATCGTTACTATAACAATATTAGCAACAGGATTCACGACACCAGTGGTAGCCGTAACAAGAACAATTGGTATAGTATTGGCAGAGCAATAATCAGCCAAAAAACAGCCACAATCAGTCATTATCAGTATACGTAGCAGCAACAATAGCTTTAATGATGAACCTAAGGTTCATATATAACAATCGAACAGCAGCAGCAGCAGCAGCAGNNAACAACAACAACAACAGCAGCTGCTGGTTGTGGGCAGGTCCCAAATCGTAGGGTGGCTTTTCAGGCTCCTTTTTTTCAATTCTGCCGCACTATCTTGGGGACCTCCAAAAGGAGACGAACCTAGAGAACTACCCTTGTATTGATGGAGTAAAGACAACAACACAAACGAAACAGTAACCCCTAAACCCTAAATCCTAGTCAATGATAAGAAGACTGTTTCTATTGATGGCACCTCTATCTCGCCGGCCAAACCGGCGAGGCAGTGGATGGAGCCTGAGAAGGAAGGGGGCCAAGGGGCAGAGGGGTTTCGGGGGTTTGGTGGGGTTTAGGGAATTGGGTTGGTTTAGGGTCTAAGGCTTATAATGGGTTTGGTAGAGTTTAGGGAATTGGGTTAGCTTAGGGTTTAGGGCTTATAATGGACGGTTGAGGGAGTTTTGGGCTTAGGGTTCGTTTCCAGCCGACAACACAATGGACTCCTGAATGGAAGTTCTGAGGTTGGGACGCGCCACCATTGCATTCACAGGGTCCTGCTGCTTAAAGCAACCATGGGACTTAGCAACTCGCTTTTGGCCCCCTAGAAACCCTAAACACCCGCGCAATCAAGGTACGTAGAACGCCGGTGTTTTGGAAGTAATTCCGTCTCATCCCAGAGCAGGAGGGAAGCTGAGACACAGCGACATAGAGCCGAGGGGCTTCCAATCTACGCCTGCGGGCTTCCTCCTGTTCATGTAAGGAATCAAGGAGCATCCCCGCCTCCCCTTCCATTACCACCAAGCGCCGGCACATGCTTCCTGAGGCTCGAAACACCCCCAAGCCACTGATACCCTGAACCGCTGTCTCAACCTTCAGACCGCTCAAACTTCCGAAACCCCGAACCCCCAAATCCCAAACACCGAAATCCTTGACCCTAAAAAACAAAATCCTACTTGAAGCCCTGAACGCCTGAAGCCCTTAATCCGAAAGCACGGGTCCAGCTCCACGGAGATCACAGCCGGCATGGCTGCTGCCTCTGACCTCAGCGAGGGGCGCATTTGGAGCTCCGCACTTTCTGCCGAAGATGATGACGATGGTAATGATGGTGCTGGTGATACCGGTGGCGATCATCATGGTTATGATGACGATGACAATGTTGATGATGACGACAAAGATGATGATGGTGATTGCTAGTTGTGATGGCAGGTACTGGTGGTGATGATGGCGAAGGTGCCTAAACCCTAAACCCTAAACCCTAGCCACGACAAACCACTGTGGAAACCGGAGCTAGGCCGGATAACACATGGAAAACTTAGATGTTCCTAGACTCAGATCGTGAGGGACCATGTGTCTATTCAACCGTAAACCCCTCTACCCATGGGACCCATAGCCCTAAATCCCTAAGCCCTGAACCCCTTGTTTACTGAAATGTCTTGGGGTGGATAGTTGGAATAGGGTTTCGGTGTTTTTTTGAGCGCATGGTAGCTTAGCTGTCAAAAGGAACCCTATGGAGTACTCTATGCTAACTATTCCGGCCCTTATACTAAACCTCGATTGAACTCCTCGTTGAATAGCCCTTTTATATATATATATATAAAAGCCCTATAAGCCTAAACCCTAAACCCCCATGAAGAACCCTTGTGGAGGAAACCTATGGTCGGACTCCTTTTCTTCTCGGTGCCCTGGGGCAGGGTGCCTCTTGCACCTGGGAAGACTGCTGCTGAGCCAGGCCATCGTGGAGCGCAGCCCAGGGATTGACCAAAGAGTCTACGGCGGGCGCTTTAGGGCTTTGGGGTAGCGAACCCCAGGGGACATGAAGGACGCTTTTGGGGAAATACTACAACATCATTATATGGTGAGGATGGCTCTATTTTCTCCCACCCTATCAGTCTATCAAGACACCTAGGCGGGATAAAGAGTTGAGTTGGGCCGTCCTCCATGCTCACATCTGGTGCTCAGTGACCTGAATATTTGAACTTCGCGTCCTGGAAGGTTGGGTCAAGAAAGAGGAGCGCTAAGAGTCTATAAGGATTCCTTTGAGGCTTCATTTTTCAAAGGGGTCTATAAGGACCAAGAGGCCTCAGAAGTTGAACAGAATTGGCTTTGGGGGTATAGTATACGATGCTTCTACGTACCTCTAGGGTCCATTGTAGTTCCTGTTTCTGGTTCATGATCCTATAAAGTCAATCCCGAAGGAACTACAATGGAGCCGGTGTGAAAAGGAACCCTATCCGAACATCTTATGCACTATGTTGCCCAGTGACATGCAGCTCTCTGGTTCACACAAGGAAACCTTGCAATGGGAATGCTGGCAATGTGACATGAAAACCCTACCGGGAAGGCCCTAAATCCCCAAATCGGAACAGTAAACACGAAACTACACCCGAAAAGGCCCTAAACTCCAAAATCGGAACAGTGAACACGAAACCCGAAACCCCAAGCCCAATCAACCCTACACTTACACCCGAAAGGCCCTGAACCACAAATCGGAACAGTACACCCCAAACCCAATAAATCCAGATACTCCGAAGCCCCGCAAGCCCCAAGCCCAACAAGCCCGATAAGCTCTACTAGAGACCTTAATAATTGGAATAGGGTTTTGGGGACTACTACACTATAATTCATAATAAGGAACCCCCCAAAAAATAGTATAGGTAATTATTTAGGCCCCTATATTACGAGCCCGATAAGCCCCGCGAGGCATCTCCCGGTCCTTGTATTTCTCTAAGATGGCATCTCTTCTCTCCACGAACTCCTGACAAAGGCTCTGGCGATAAGAACAGCACACAAGCCCTGGACAATGAAATCAGAATTCAGAATAGGGTTACGAGGCATAGTCGAAAACAGTATAAACGCGCCAACGTAATGCAGGATTTGGCCCATCAGCCGAATTTCTCTTCCCTAGCTTCCTCCGTGGTGAGGTAGGCCGGGTTGAAGGGATTTTCGCCGGGCTTCGCCCCCTTCTGCTCCAGCAACTTCTTGCACTCCTGCAAACGAATGTGGAAAGGTTAGGCACCTTCTCTTAAGCCCCTATTTACCACTAGATTTCGGGCTGGGTCGTTTGGACTGAAACATATGCACCTGCCCGAAAACTCGCGTGAAATTCACCCTAAAGCTTCACCTCTATAGACCCTAAACCAACAATATATACTAAAGTCCCAGACGCGTAAAAACCTGAAGCCCCAAACCCTCAAAGCACCCCATAAGCCCCGAAACCCTAGTAGAATCCTCGGTTTAGGGTTTAGGGTTTAGGGTTTTAGGGCTTCGATACCTTATAGAACCCTTTCCAGGAACCCCTCAAAAGCACCGGGCCACCCGCAGCTGCGGCAGGCACTTGAAGGTGTCAAGCTCGTCGGCCAAGGGTTGGTTGGGAACCAGGTGCTGCCTCTGCTCCTGGCTTTGGGCATTCGGATGCTTGTTCCCTAAGCCCTACGCCCTAAACCCTAAAACACTAAAGCCCTAAAGCCCTAAACCTAAACCCTAAACCGAGGATTCTACTCGGGTTGATTTCGAGGTTTTTTGAATTTTGGAGGCTTGGAAAGCTCAGAGTTGATTAGGGCTTAAGGCTTTACGGGTGTAGGGTTTGAGGTTTGGGCTTCTGGGCTTTGAAGGTCTAGAGTTTTCTTTACAGCTCATTTTCCGATCCGCTACAAGTCTAGGGCTTTGGCTTGGGGTGTTTAGGGGGTTGAAAACCTAAACCCTTGTAGATACCTTACAGGAGCCCTCATAGGAACCCCTGAAAGGAGCCCTCAAAGGAACCCGGTGGATAAAGAAGCAACTCCGAAACCACAGACTCGGCACCTTGCCAGATTTGCCCAACAGACCCTACCCTAAACCCTAAACCTTCAACCCTAAACCTAAACCCTAAACCCTAAACCCGAAACCCTAAACCTTCAACCCCAAACCCTAAACCTTCAGCCCTAAACCCTAAACCCGAAACCCTAAATCCGAGACCTGTAAAGCTCTAATGCCCCCAAAAGCCCCAACCCTCCAGTGTTTAAGGGGGCAGCGAGCCTCGGCAGTTCCGTAGCCGTAGCCCACGATACTTCGTCCTTCCATGATCTCCCGCCTCTCCTGAATGTAGGGCTTAAGGCTTCCGATGTAGGGCTTGAGTGAGGGCTTTAGGGTGCCTTTGAGGGTTTGGGGCCTTTGGGCTGGGGTTAAGTTCCGTTAAGGGTGCAGGGTTCACGGCTTTAGGGATGATCTCCCGCCTCGTCTGAGTGAGGGCTTTACTTAGAGGATCATAGGGCTTAGTAACTAGGGTTATACGGTTTAGGGCTTTAGGGCTTTAGGGGTTTAGGGGTTTAGGGTTATAAAAATTAGGTAGCTATACTATATCTGCTTATCATCCCAAGTTAAGGTTCCTATAACCTAACTTACTACGTCCCCTGATCCTCCAAGTAGGGTTCCTTCCGAGATTTCCGAGTTCCCTTGAGAGTTTCGGGTCTCAGGGGGATCTTGTTAAGTTCCGAGGGTTTAGGGCTCTAGGGTTCCGTTTATCGTTCCCTTTAGGGTTCCTATAAGAGTGGGCTCCTTCAGAGGTTCTATAAGGAATCTACAGGAACTTAGGGTTTACGAGTTTGGGGTCCAGGTGTCCTTTTAGGGCCATTTTAGGGTTCCTTGCAGGGTTCCCAGAAGGTATCTACCACGGTTCCACGAGGGTTTAGGGGTTTAGGGACTACGACGGTTCCATAAGGGTTCAGGTCTTACACAGCACAAAACCCTAAAACCATGTGTCACTAAGAGCCCTAGGCATCCTCAAAAGGCCTGTTGTAACGACCCTCATAGGACTTTGCTCAAAGGATCATGCGACTTTGTAAATGGAGTTACAAATAGGCAACTATGTTTTGACTTCTTGTTACCCCGGTTCATGCGCTTCTGAACTGACTTACCTAGTCCCCGAACCCTGAACCCCCGATAGCCCTATAGCCTTGCCTACTATGTCCGCTGATCCTCCCAGTAAGAGCAAGCCCGGAATCCCAACATCTAAACCCTAAGCCGTTCAAGAATCCCTAAACCCCCAAACCCCCTAAACCCTCAATAAAGCCCCTAAAAAGCCCCGTAAACCCTTCAGATGCCTCAACGGAACCCCTATAGATCCCGTGAAGGACACCTTACAAATCCGCGAAAAGCAGCCCAAAAACCCGATTCTGGCCCTTAAAAAAGGGCCTATCGGGTTTAGGGTTTAGGGTTTAGGGCTTTAGGGGTTTAGGGTATCTTAACCCATCTGATGCTAGGATACAGTTTTGGGTGTTCTTTTTCCTAAGATCTTCAAGTCGATCCTCCAAGCAAACAATGCTTCAAAAACGCCAAAGCATAAACCTTGTTTCAGGACCCCTAAACCTCAACGACTCAAGGGCCCCTTGCAACCTACATGTTGAATGAGCCCTTGGAGTTTTATTACAATAAGAAGAAACCACGCTTGCTAACGACACCAAAGTCAAGGATCCAAGGAAGAAGCCCTTCTAGATCCCTCACAGGCAGGATCCCTTGCAGAATCCCTAAGTCCTAAACCCTAACCCCCTTGTAACCCTAAACCCCTAAAACCCATAAGCCCTAAACCGCTAAACCCCTAAACTCTAACCCCNNCCCCCCCCCCCCCCCCCTCCCCCATGATGGCCTCCTGTGCGCGAATCTCCTGCAGCCTCGCCGCCTCCTGATCCTTCAAGAGCTCCGTGACCTCGCGAGTTGAAGGGTTTTTCGGGAGGTTTAGTGGGTGTAGGGGGGGGGGTTTACGGTGTAGGNNGGTTTAGGGTCCTAGGGGTGTAGGGTTTAGGGTGAAGGGGGAGTTTAAGATTTAGGGTGTAGGGGGGTTTAGGGTGTAGGGTTTATAAGGGGTGGTAGGCGTGGGGTTTGGGGTTTTCGGGAGTATAGGAGGTAGGGTTTAGGGTTTAGGGAGAGTTTGGGGCCTTGGAGCTGGCTGTTCGAACCTCAAGAAGCTTAAGAAAGCCCAGGGCAACCTAGGGTTATTCAGCCCTAAACCCTAAACCCTAAACCCGCATCCCCAAACCCTAAACCCTAAGATACCCTGAAACCCGGAACCTGGTGAAGGACGACCCCGGGTTCTCTAGCCTGAAACTGGCAGGAGCCGGTTTCTTTCTTACGGCCGACAAGCATCCTACAAAGGATTCTTTTGAAGTGCTTTAGGTGTAAGGTTTAGGGCTTTGGGTTT